CAAGAGCAAGTTGAATCCTCAAGAAGATCTGTTTCCTTGAAGAAAGTACAACAAAAAATTGATCATCATGACGGGTCTCTCCTGTAGCCACGGGCACGCCTTCTCCTTCATCTAAGGGCCTGTATGTGTGCAAAAGGATGCCGATTCAGACCCTAAGCCAGTGCTGTTTGTGATAGGAAAGCCTAACACTTTTAAGAAGTTCATTTGTTTCGTCAGACGAATATTCTTTTTTAGTGAGATAAAACCTTGGTTACCATAATTTTGGCTTACCTTGTACAGCCGGTAGCTGAGGTGCAGGACTGGTCATGTGAGGAAAAGAAGCCCAACAATTAGTAAAAATCACCAAAAGAGAAAACACCCCAGAACATCGAAATTGACGTCGAAACAATCGCTCTGAACAACAGGATGCCCTTCGTGATACTGTGAGCTTCAGCTCTTCAGCTCCCTCTAAAATTGTAGATCTATCAGTGTCTATTGCAGAAATCTAGGGCATTTTAGAGAAAAACAGAGCTCTTTCGAGGATACTGATTTATTGCTTGGCTCAGTTTTTTGTCACGGTATTCTGTACTTCAAACCAAAACCTTTTAGGAAGATCACTGTTGAGTAAAAAAGGAGGCGCGAAAAAAGCGGGCGTCTTTATGGGAAAATGAAGGCGGTCTTATCTATGGCACTTTAGCGGACTAAAATGGTCAGCCATATTCGTACCGCCCAACGAACGCTGCGTGCTGAACAATTTGTCAACTCTTTTATTATGAAAAAATACTTTTCAATGATAACAATGGACGAATTTTAAACAACAAAAACTGAAGGCGAAAATTTCGATAAATTCTACGAGTGGTTAATGCTTTATCTCTGCTCGATCATGTGCTACTTCGCATCTCGGAGTATTGCCGCACCTTTTCGGGCACCCGACAAGATGCCCGTCGTGCGGCGGAAAGGCAAGGACGCAGACTGGTCAACGGATGGGTTGCAGCGTAGACTGTGCAATGTAGGACATACCATAGCTCATTCTATTCAGCACAATAAAAACGCTACAGCATGCGCTGCGACTCGTCCGCTGACCGTCTGCATCTCTGCCTTCTCCCAGCGCTACGGGCCTCCTGTCGGATACCCCGCCCTTCAGTGCCGTCAGTGTGTTTAACCAATCACCGTGCATTCAGGTATAGGTCAGGTGATCCAGATTACGTCGCGGAACGCTCCTTGACAAGCAATGCTATACGTCCAACATACTTAACGATGAAATGCATGAATATTCACGAAGATTCCGGAGATTCAGAGACGTCCACGGTTTTCGTAGAAAGGAAAATAGGAAAAATTGAAGTGTAAGAAGAGGGCGAAAACGCTTCCTGAACAGCCCACATATCCTGGACGTGTAATGCATGCGAAAGGCGGGTGAGGCAGCAATGCGTCCGGTAAGACGCGGAAGCAGCGGGACGCCGCATTTACATTTTGGGGGAGTCTGGATTCTGCATCCAACGTGTCATATGAATATTATTTAAAATTTGGCCAAAATTGCAAGTGTTCTGCTTCAAGTTCTCCAAGTATAAGTACAACGCAACTGTCAGATGAAACAAGATTGGGTGAAAATGTAGTTCGGGCGGGGGCCACTCATAATATCTAATCGAACTGACAATATCTAATCGAAGTGGAGCTGCGGAAGTGCGGTCATATCTAATCAACATCCAGAGCACAATCTCTGAGTGTATGATTAGATATGGATACCAACCCGGGTCCCATACAGAATCGGATACCTGGAAGGCCCTTCCTCCGAGAGTTTGCATGGCCAGTCGCAAGGTTTGGTGAAAGTGAAGAGCCAGCTGGGTACAGCCATTTTAGCCACAGAATTATTGACAAGGGTAGTTAGCTAGTCAACAGGCCAAGTTTATCTACTTTGAATAGAAATGGGTGTTTTCACGCAGGTTCACTTCGATTACATAGTGTGCCCCCCCCCCCCCCCGAACTACATTTTCACCAGAATCGGTATGCAAGAGGAGATAAATGCATAGAAAATGAGGACGAGAAATAATTACTTGATGGTAACATAAAGGATCGACTGAGTAGGAGCAATGTGAGCGATCAATTCCATCGAATGTTTGAGATCCAAAACGGTTCTTGACCAGGTGTGTCAGCATTCACGTCCAAGCGGTCCTTTTGATGCTAAACAGAGGGATTGTGTGCGCGATGCTGTGGGCGCCTTGGATCCCTTTCGAAGACTGATATCTCATCAGTGCTCTCTGCATAAAGTCCGAGATGTTCGGAGCAGGACGCATGGAGCTCATCTGAAACATTATATGCTAGAATCATTCGACCTCGCATCTCAAATGCCAATGACTGAAAGTAAGAATGAGATTTATCAAATCTTTGCTGATGAGAAACGCGTTCAATCAGCTCAGTGGTTTTGAATGCTGGAGTATCAGAAGCGATAAACTCTGCGATGTGACTGCGAAGGTCGTTTTCTTCATGAATAAGATTGCTGGGCGGTGAGAAATTTTGGGTACTTACATTGCCAACACTGTGGATAAGTTGTTTTGATTGTTAATAGACGTAATTGCGGGTAACTCGCAACGGAAAGCGCAAAAGGTTGGCGGGTTTGAAGTCCGTATGGGCGCCGAAAGTTTTGCTCACAACCAGATTCTTGTGAGAACATTGTTGAGAGTCTTTCCCCTCTGTAACGGTCACCTGGAGCGCGAGAAACTAGGCAACGCGTTGACCCGTTGTGCTATGTCGTCATACCTTCTCCAGGGCAAGTCAGTTTTCAAATTCGTTGAAACCTTGGGCGTAGTCGATCACACCCAGCCAACAGCTGTCGTAGGTAGGAGAAAGGAAATCTCTGGTAATACATGGGAGCAATTCCCAGTCCAGCAGAAAAACGGCGTTAACTCAAAACAAGCAAGAAATTGGGGTAAGACACTTCAAACATAGTACATAATAGTTCAACGGAACTGTTGACTAACCGTTGACAAAGCCCGATATCCGACCACCACCCTCATCCCCAGGGCTTTCGCTTTCCTTACAAGAACTTAGTGCGCAACTCCTTGAAGCCTATCTATAGCAAATCTGGGCCAAGTGTATTCTCCATATCTTAGCCTGCTTGCGCTCTTTTCAGGTCTATTTTTGCTGGAAAAACAAAACCATGCAAACTTGCTCATTGAGTATGCTTCAAGATCTTGAAAAGTGTAAAAGAAAATGTTGCTAACCATCTAATAAACAGAGCAAGGAAATTCCTTCAAAATGCTGGTCTGAAAGGCAGCAGCTTGCTTGGAACCAAAACAAAATGTGGTATTTAAAAATGAGGTGTCAAAAAACGATAGCACTTTTCCAAGTTCTAGCATTTTTCACCAGTAGTGTGTTTGTTAGGAAAAGATTGCGTCGTAATGACCTAATGATAATGATGGATGCTTTTTGTCAGGGATAAAAAACTTCTATGATTGATAAAGATAAAACAAAACATGAACTGAATTAAAAGAGAGAGCTTTCAGAAAATTCTTGCGAAAAAATTGAACCTCACCTGCTCGAGAACCTTCGCAACAGCCTGCTGTCGGGTCATTCTCTCCTTGCTTATCAGGTAAGCTGCACAGAACGCTGGAGCTCTGCAAAATGAATTTTTATGAGCAGATCACAAGCAGATATTTCATGCACGAACTGTTTGAGTATTCACCTGTTTCTACCCTTCGCACTGCAGACAAGCACTGATTTTCCAGCTTTCCGTCCTCGCTCCACAAGGTCACAAAACTGATCGAATAGCACTGTCATGTTGATCTTCGACTAGAAAGAATAATATTGTTATTGCTCGTTGAATAATACTTGTGGTTGGATACCGATTTTCTTCTGCCGAGGTCACCTTCCAAACGTGAAGGTAAAGGAATCGTGCACGGAAAATCTGTTCATTTTTCCCTGTATAGGTATTTTGTGTGGTCATGTAAGACCATGGACAAAGTTTCGAAGAGTATAATTTTTCGAAGAGGGACAGCAACGAAAAAACCCATTAATTTTGGAATCACTGTGCAGCAAAAGCGGAGCTAAAAAGGGCTCACTTAAACATGGTAAGTGTGATTCGACCGTGCTATTTCGTAAAAACCTGACACGAAGCTCGTACTTTATGCAGCTTAATAAATTCAACGCATTAGCTCCCAAGACCGCGCTCTAATCGAGTGCCTTACCTGGTAAGTAGAGTTGCTGGGTTCGAAGTCACGCCTGGGGCGAAAGTTTTGTTCATAGTTCAGGAATCTCTGTGTTTGCATAGACGCGACTGCGCGTTTATAACATCAGTTATCGAACAAAGCAAGTAATAGCCTCTTTTCATTCTCTTGCCGAATCCGCGGGAATCTGTTGTAGCCCTCTATCAATGAATTATGCGCAGACTGTAGTGATTTCTCACATTACGAGATTGGGTTGTTCCGAAGATTACTTGGCCTCTGTCTACTTCACGAGTTCCTCTCGCTCAGTGAGTGGAGCCTGCCTACATTTGTGGCTAAATCCGGTAGAAAAGGCATATCGGCATTTGAATCAAGAATTACGAGAGGGCATCTATAACCTTAGAGACCAGTCCGCTGTGTCACAAAGTCACAAGTTGACTGATGTCTCTAGTTGCTTTCTTGAAGTCCGTCCACCAATGCTGTTACTTGTTGCGGACATGGAGCGTTTCCAGAACGCAATAATTCGCGTAATCGAAGTAACCATAAAATTGTATAGGTAAATATGAAGGATCTCTCACAGGTCAGGTGATGCTCTGAAGACAAGGGCAAACATTTAGCAAACTTCCCTGTCTGAGAGTCATAGTTTCGACTGGCGACAATGGATCATCAGGGGTTGATAAGTGTGCAGTCTATTCAAACAATAAGTAGAGGCATCAGTTGGGATTTGCAGATCAGCAGACCGTAGACTGATGCGGATATCGCAAAGCTGCTTCTTCCTACAGGAGAACTCGTGACCTCTCGCGGCCGTATGTCAGGACCGAAAGCCAGAAATCTATACAGAAACGGCTTCACTGGCTCTCCTCCGCTCTTCATAATCTACTGGTCCTACACCAGCCGATCGTCTTGCGTTCGCTTGCTCATTTCCTGATGGAGAAAGCTGATCGTGAGCAGCTCGAAAAGACTTCCGGTCATCTTTATCCCGTCCTCGAATAATGTACGATTCCGGGAGCGGCAGCCGCTCATATGGAGTGCAGTTGGGGGCAGAGTACGCTGTTTCCGTGAACGTTTCCGTTTATTTTTTCGGTTTTACAAAGAAAATTAATCTGATATTTAGCGATCATTACCGGCAAACTCACGTCAATGCATTTTTTCTCCGTTTCTGGCACATCCATAGCTACAAAATAGCGGAAGTGTTGTGATCGTCGAGGACAGAGGCATGGACAGTCGTATCGCCTCCTGGAATTTCATTTCATTAGATAGTTACTGAAATTACATCATCAAATTTCAGAGAGGAGTAGTTCAGAACACTTCTGAAGTGCAGACTTCTAACTTCTACTCTTCGAATCTCACCCCCTAAAAATTTTTGAAAAAAATTGGAAAAGTATTATACATAAATAATATTGAGATCCAGGAACAACTTTTGATTTTACAAGCTGGTTCAATTACATACAAAATCAATAATTTTATTCTAACGTCTAACACCCCTTCTCACAAGCCCTTTGCACACCGCGTAAGTTGCCTGCCAAATTGGATTTACCGTAAGAAGAAGAGTTATGACATTAAGATGCGCCCGGTTCATGCTTATTTAGGTGCATGTAAGACTTGGCGATTGCAAAGTGCTACAAAGACAGCTTCTGACATCCATGTGATATGTGTGAGATGACTACGAGTTCGAGGTTAGTTAAATCGAACACAAGTGACAATTAATCGATTAATCTAGATTAAGAGCTAAATTTGCTGATTCAAAAATTAAAACAAGCATTAAATGAAAAACATTGTCTGGATTATCTTAGAGATAGCTTGGATTTTCATATTCCTTCTCTGACCATTTTTTAGCCGTAAGGCGAGGCAGGGAGTTCAAAAAATTGAGTTAACATGAACTCTGGCAGAAAGGTGAAATGAACAGGTGAAACACTTTTTTTGAAAATCCTGAGTACCAAAAGGAATCGGCAGCAGGAAGAGTACTGCTTATCTTCAGTTAAAAACGTTGCGGTTTGAAAAATGGAAACAATTCAAGAAATTTCTGCCTGATCAACAGTGCAATTAGGAACATGTGATCCGTACCTGTTGACTTCCTCGCCGTCCTCGTTACAGAGATCGCAAACGAATTCTATATTCAGACGACACAGGAGGTTCATATTAGCCACCGAATCCTGTGAACCGACGAAGACAGTGTCGTCTATCGAAAATACTCATTATGATGAGAATCCTTTGCGGGAGAGTCAGAACTATAGTGGATGTCCGACGGGAAAGACGTCACTTGCCAAACAATTCCGACATAGAGCAAGAGCCGGTGGAAAGGAGGTAGACTGGCAGAGTTTTGCTGCCTTCCGAGCGCTCGGCCGTGCGAGACCTCAGTGTAGTCTCTTGACCTGTACGTTCTTAACACGACGTTCGCCGCGGCATCTCTTCGACTACTAGACACGAATGCGACCCTGTACACAATACAGTCGTGTATAAAATGATTTTTACCATCTGCTAAACGAAATACTATGCGGAAATATGATCACGGGCTGGAGGTGGTGTTACGATGGCAGGGTCGCACGGAGCAGGTCACGGGGTCCTCCCCTGCCGGAACATCAATCAAGGAGCGGTCGATTCATTGAGATCGGCGTTAATATTCATTACTATACGTAAAATCAGTTAGTGTTAACTGGGTGTACAAGGTTAACTGTCTGTCTAGGTGGATTAAACCGACCAGACTAACTATACATCAACTGATCCCGGAAGGCATTTCATAGAACAAACCGCGTTTGGATGACGCCACGATTCAAAGTGGATAGTAGAGTGTGTTGCGCATCCCATAAAGGGACTCTTCAACACCGTACGCTATATTCTTTATCCCTCCATTCATTTTTCGTGGTTAATGGTTCCCATGTTTCCCTTCTATTCTTTGTCCAATTGTTAAAAATTGTTAACATTTGTTAGCAACTTTCACATTTCTCCAGCCATACAGTAAATGAGGTGCCGCTGCCTTTCATATCGCTGTATCGCTGCCTTTACGTAAACGGGAAGTATACAAATCCTCCACATTATAATGCAATGCCTTTTTTAACTACCATATCATATCAAGAAAGTGGGAATGGTGCGGCACATCGAGGCTCCCTACCCTTGCTTTTGGGTGTTTTCAAGAGGCCCATTGCGCGGCGAAGGAAGAGACGCAGACAGGGTGAAAATCGCTTGAGGAAACGACAACGGCTCGTCGAGGATTTCTTTCACGCTCTCCCACGCGGATGCTCACTCTCGCCACCCGCGAGCCGTCTGTGCTCTCCGCGCATTCATTCACTCTCGACACTACTCTCGCACAGTAGAGAGCCATGGTCGAGGAATTCCTCGACCGTTATTCACCCTGGACGCAGACGCGGAAAAGGACGAGTCGCAGCGCATACTGTAGCGGTTAGGCGTCAGGTTAAATAGAGTGTACCATACTACGTCTCATATCGCACAGCACGCGCTGCGACTCGTCCTTTGCCGCATCTGCGTCTCTTCCTTCGCCGCGCGACGGGCCTCTTGGGGACACCCCTTCCTTTTAAAAAATAGGCAAATGCTTAAACATCAAATAACGTAGAAATCGGGCAGAAGCCGAACGAACAACTAGTGAAAATTGTATAATTTCAAAATGAGCAGAAATAAAAAATGAGCAGAATGTCACACTTACGTGATGGGGAGCGACCATGATTACATTATTTCTTCTTGTGATATGTTCAGTTTGAGCAGAAAAGGAAGAAGCGGTACTGGTTGGAGAGGAAGTCTCTGAAATGATGCGAAAACAATACAAACTGCAAAAATTGAAACATTCCAGAAATTGTCACTTTAAATCTAATCTCAACCTATTGCTTTCAACTGCTCTATAATTTCATGACCACAGATTGACATGGAAGAGAATCTCGAGCAGAAAGTAGCCTTATTTTGCCCGATACCCGCGGCTTATCTCACCTTCCTATGACCTATGGTGCCGCTAACTTCGTCAAACCTGGTACGATGAGGCACAATTGAACTAAACTCAAACCGCCCAAGAAATGAAGAAGAACCCTAAACCTCAAAGGTACGTCGAATGCTAGGACGGAAGCGTTGTATGCCATATGGTCTCTCCTTTGAAGCTACACACATCAGGAAGAGCTACGGAAAGCCTGGCGAAGTGTATGAGGGACGCTTGAGGAGTGCGGCCGTTTGGAAAAACATATGGGACAGTCCGGTCCCGCCATCAGATAGAAGGGTTCGTCAAGGAATTCTTGAAAGGGACTTGTATTCATGATGTCAACGTTGAAATGAGTTCCCGAAAGGCAAGTTATTAGAAAATTTAAGTTATTAGGCAATTTTTTAAAGGATTCGGAAGCTTACGTGGGTCTCTCTATCTTCTCTCTTGCTCCTTCTGCGGATTTCCAGAGCTGCCACGAGACTCTGGAGTTGAGGTGGCTTGCTCTATTGGTGCTTATTTAGCCGTTATGGGTGAATTACAAGGTCACTCTGGAAAACCTCAACGCTGAACTGGATCTTACGATTAGTTCCACGAACGGTTGGCTTCCCTCATTCTCTTCTTTCACCCCTCCCAGTAAGGGAGAGCGAGCCTTCAGCAGGCAATCCAGGTGGCGGTAAACATGTCATCAAAGGAAGTTGATGGGATGGTCCTTGTTGGTGATTAATTAGTTGCTAAGTCTGTGTATTACTAATTATCATTCCCAGTTACTCCTTTGTGATATTCACGGATTATTACTTATTTTTTGGGTGTCTCTTCTCACGAAATTTGGAGCTTTTACCGTTCATATTCCTTCCTCCCTCTTCGTCCATCACGTATACTTAGAAAAAATGAAAGGGTTGAAGAAGTGGGTACCGTTATGAGGAAGAAAGATCGTACTTAGAACTACCTCGCCACCATGCTTGATCTTGCATGTGGCACAATTATGAGTAATATCTACCAGAGGGATCAAAGCTATTAGCTCCATGTTTTCTGTACATTGCAAATAAGCGATCTCAAAAGTCGTAAGAAAAGGCCATACCATGGCTGCTTGACGTTGTGATACTGCTTCGACTTCCACGTTTGTTGAAAAGGAAGTGGATTTGATTCGAGTCGAGGCCGTTCGATGTTGCCGAGCAGGCTCGAGATTGGAGTGATTGACTGAAATAACCAGCACGTAATTCACTTTGCACGATCTCATTTATCAATGGGAACCCCACACTATTTCTGAACATTTTCTTTGATAGCGCCTTTACTCCGATAGTGATCGAAATAACAAAGCCACTGCCTATCAAATGTACACGGAGTGATTACAGGTTGGGGGCAAGGTACAGAAACCGCGCAGGCTCACGAGAAAAATACAATGCGTGGAAAGGCTTTTTGAATATTCTTAGTGTGGCCATCCACTTGGTCGCCCCTGTCAGCTTCAAGGGATTCGGGATCACTACCGAAGCAAATGAAACGCTCGTTTTGCAGAATAACTAAGAGTAATATTGTTATAGTCGAGTCAGCTCGGCTGATTTCCTCTGAAATACCTCTACCCAAATCCACCAAAAGCGTCCAAGAGCTCGAGGTATCAGGTGGCACTTTTGGGAGGACTCACGGTGGACTCAAGGGCACCTGCTTGCGTAAGATACTCGACAGGAGGCCCGTCGCGCGGCAAAAGGCAGTTTAGCGGACGAGTCGCAGCGCGTACTGTAGTGATTTCGCGTCAAGTTGAATAGAATGTACCATTGCACGTCCTACATCGCACAGCACGCGCTGCACTCGTCCTCTGACCCTATTGAGTCTCTGCCTTTTCGCCGCGCGGCGAGCCTCTTCTCAGGTACTAGCTTGCGTGTCGCGACGGATGCTTCCCGAAGACTAAATGAGGTTGAATCGAAAGTAAGGCTGAATATTGTTTTTGTTGAACAGTGAATTGTTCTTTCCAGTCAGGACTTGAATCATCAGACCTTCTTCAAATTTCTTCTGGGTTTCCGTAGTTCGCGCCCACCCTGTATACCTGATAGGAATCAATCTAGTCGCTGCTTACAGTCCATATATCGCTTCTGAGTAGGCATCTACGGATTTCGTGGTGACCTCGCAGTTGATGGAAGCCACATGAATGAGCTATTCACAGCATATTTCGCTCAACCCTTAGACTACGACTTATTTAAAATCATGTCATCGATGTGTTTTGCACAGTAGCTTTTGATTCTGACACCAACTAATCATCTACCCTCCCCTTCAAAAAACCAGGAAGTGTCGGGTGCAGATCATACACCACAAGTGACGACGGCCTCCTCCAGAAAATGCAAATGTTTTTGCCAATGAAATGATTAACCTGTTAGTTGTATTCGATCAGTTGACAGTAATTACAACTATCATTTACTAAAAATCAGCTATCACTATGAACCACTACTAACCAGATTTGGAGGCCGTCGTCAGTTGTGGTGTTTGATCTCCATCGCCACACTTTCCGCCTTTTTGAAGGGGAGGGCATATAGTTTTGGCTGACGGACGCTGGATTTGACCTGGGATTTGATCAAGGGGATCACGTGCACGGTAATGCCGTTACACACATCTCCGTCAAAAAGTATTTAAGGAACTTAAATTGCAATTCAGTTACCATTCACACAATACAATTTTTCGCATTTTCATTCGTGGAAGCAAGCCGGTCTGGTTGGGACCACCTCTGCGAAAAATCGCAATTCGCCCCAACGGCAGCTTCTACTCTAACGAATTTCGTCGACTCCAACTGCTTCGAAATCTGCTGTGAGAGCGGGCTGCAATGTCCACTTACACATCAACCGAACTATCAGAATCTTTTTAGGATAGAATCTTACCTCTCCCTGTACATACCTAAAAAATCTTCACCGAAATACTTAGAAAAGATTAAAAGTTGAGGTCTGAGGACTGCCATACAATTAAGCATACCACGACGTTTTACTTAGTAGTATCTCCGGCATATCCTAGAAGTCTATGAATGGTGAAGGATAGGTCGTGTCAGACCGTCTACATTACCTGTGCATACAAACAGATATGATTCAAGTATAAATAGATCATTGAGCCAAGTCGAGAATGGGGGTGGAAAAAGCACCTGCCACTTTATTCACTATAATAACCTTGAGTAGACTTACGGTCTTGTCCCTGAGGTTGAGGGAGTCGATGATGAACTGTCAGACATCAGGGAAATACGGCATTTATCTGGGCGAAACGGAAAACAAAATAAGTTTTTCTGAAAACCCAAAAGCAGCAGACTGAAGTCGACAGCGGGCGACAAGCGGATGTTCTACGTATCGGAAGAATTGGTAGAGGAGTACGACAGCTTGCAAAGAAATGACAAAATCAGGCGTAGTTGCGACCAGGAGGCAAATATATAAATGCAGTGTATAATACAAATGTTCGATAGGCAGCTCGAGGTCTATACAAATAATTTGTTCGGTTCGAAAATTGCTTTTTAGGCTCTTTTCCTATACCGCACTTACTTAATACCTTAGTAACTAACGAAGGAATGGTCATTGGTCCTTCAAATAATGTAGTCCAATGGAGGCGTCTTGCGACGCTGAGCTCAAATCCGTTTTCGTTATCTGCGGAACGATTCTCTGAGAGAAGTTAGGGGGATTTTTCTCTTTGTGACTTTCCCACTGTGGCACCCTCTACATCACCTTAGCTCTTTCTTTATTTCCTGTGCAACTGCGAAAAGCTGTTTTGTTTTGATCACCATGTGAAGAACTATCACATATGCTCACGAATTATTGAAATTTTGTATATTTACGAGCCTGTGTCCTTGTGTTTTGTCCCGTGTGTCAAAGTTCATCATAATAGAAAACCTAAAAAGACGGACGAGAGGAAAATTCCAAAGTCTGTCTCAGCCACATGTCAAGTGGGGACGCAAATCAACAAAATAACCAAATATAGACACTTTTTGGGCTCGTATGAGAAGCCATGAAAAAATGCAAAAACTTTGCGGTTCTATGGATCCGATCCTGTGACCTATCCCGTATGAGTCTAGGGAGATATCCATTAGGCCACTTTGCCAACTGTGTGATTGCTCTCTGGCTCTTCTTATGCGAACCGTGTAGGACAGGGGAATGTAGAGGATGCCACAGTGAAAAAAGCCATAGTGAGAAGATCCCCCTCGTAACTTCTTTCAGAGAATCGTTCCGCAGATAACGAAAACGGATTTGAGCTCAGCGTCGCAAGACGCGTCCATTGGACTACATCTCATTATAAATGGCCGGACTGACCAGTTGAGCATTCCTCGTTAGCCCTGCAAAGATAAAATTATGAATATTATATCAGTTCCAGCAAGTGATCAGGGAGGTCTTCCTTCTAGTACGACGAGTAGAGGGTCAGCCGGCACGTTCACAATTTTTCCAAAAATTTTGCGCCCTGACCCTCCTTCAGCGACGGATTTCGATAGGATCTCCCCTCACCAAGGTGGAAAATTTGCAGCCGTAGCAGCTTACTTTGCAAGGCCTTAGCGCTCTTGTGAGTTGATTTCTCTGCAAGGAATGCTACATCTGTGATTGTCCTCAGAGGTCTGTACTACAACCCAAGCATTCACGCGACCTCTGCCTGGGTTGTGCTTAAAGGCTTTAAACACCACCACTTACTTAACTGCATTTCTGAACTATAACGATGATTGACCAGGAAAAGTGGAGCAGATGTGGAAATGTTTGAAGTCAAGCTCCGTGATGAAACTGGTGTGTAAGGGCGCTCACTAATAAAAATAGAGGTGGAGTGGGCAATAGTGAAAAAAGCAGAAGACCGTTGAAAACACCGAGATTAGGGGCCTAACCCTTCTGTGAATGTGGGGGGAATAACGGAGATTTAGGAGGCTGCCCGGGGGTATGCGCTAACAAGGAGCACGGTCATTTCGCAGGTTTCCTTACAACAGTATTTAACAGCTACAAGAAAGTAGATGAATATTATGTGCTTCATCGATGGCTCCATCCCCCTTGGCGTTGCATTCAAGGTTTTCGGCTGCTTTTGGCCCCAATGTGGCCCTAACCACCGATATGAAATCCGATTTTGACATTCAGCACCATTCGCACCAGCCGTAGGCGAATACCCAAATGCAAAAATTTAATCCATCGCGGGGGATCGAACCAGGGGCAGTACTTTTTACTTCTTTTTTAGTACTGCTAGAACCATTTAATGGAAATGAAACATGGTTTTGTGCTCTTTACATGGGTTCCGGCCAATAGGCTGAGCGAACCGCTTTATTGAAAAAACCCTGAAAGACCCCCCCCCCTTGTGAGACCCCAGCGCCGTGTTCGCGCTCTTTCGAGCAGTTTTCTCAAATCCTATGTCGAGTGTTTTGGAGGCAAACCCTAGTATATGACCACTGGAGTAAGAAACGTAAGAGTAAGGCATCGGCGAAGTTCGCAAACAGCTCTATTCAACCTACTGAAGGATAATTCTTTACTCCAGTGGTCATATACTAGGGACTGCCTCCAAACACGTTCGATAATAGGACTTGAGAACAAAAGGAAATAAACGCGGAACGTTTCAGCTGGAGCTATTGATACTCCTCTATAATTCCGTCATTTGAAGGCAGAAGATTGCGAAAAGTTAAGCCAAAGAGTAGGCGAACTCAGTGAACCACACATATTCTACGATCGTCTAATTCACAGCAGGGGTGAATCGCACGCTTTCGATCACGACAGCAGATGTTTCCTCGCTCTGCGTATTTGAGCCCGGATCAAGCTCCCTCGTCCAGTGAGTATTACGTTTAAAAAAAGTCAAACTGTTTTTTTTTTCATTGGTCGTACTGTTTCATTCTTCTGTGCCAAGCGAGGTTGATAGCCGGAACCCTTATTGAATTGCTCAAAAGCTTCGAGCTATCTTCAGGCCTCGGAAGAAGACGAAAAGGTCGCCATGTCGGGCCATTCAATAAAGGTTCCAGCTATCAACCTCGCTGGGCACAGAAGAATGAAACAGTTCGACCTATAATGTCCGTGGTTTCAACAAGGGATAACTTGGAGACTGTTTTTCTTTTAATTTTTGAAGAGCTGCTCATTGGGTATGACACGATCACAAGAAGGTGCTATTTCGCCCGTAATTAATGTAGAAAAGTAAGGTAGAGTAGTTTTGAAGAAAAGCGGAGAAGAAACTGTCTAAAGCGATGAATCTGAGGGCCTACCTCATTCCGCTGGGCCAGCTGCGGTACGAGGAAAGCGGACTGACGGGCAGCGGAGAGAACGAGGTGGGAGCGAAAGTATACAGGGGGGGGGCCAAAAAAAAAAAG